CTGATTGCCTTCTATGATGAAATAACTGGCTCTGTGGATACAGGTAAAGCAGTGGACGTGATATATCTTGACTTTAGCAAAGCTTTTGATACAGTCTCCCACAGTATTCTTGCCAGCAAGTTAAAAAAGTATGGATTGAATGAATGGACTATAAGGTGGATATAAAGCTGGCTAGATTGTCGGGCTCAATGGGTAGTGATCAATGGCCCGATGTCTAGTTGGCAGCCGGTATCAAGCAGAGTGCCCCAGGGGTCGGTCCTGGGGCTGGTTTTGTTCAACATCTTTATTAATGATCTGGATGATGGGATAAATTGCACCCTCAGTAAGTTCGTGGATGACACTAAGCTGGGAGGGAAAGGTAGATACGCTAGAGGGTAGAGATAAGGTCCAGACTGACCTAGACAAATTGGAGGATTGGGCCAAAAGAAATCTGATGAGGTCCAACAAGGACAAGTGCAGAGTCCTGGATTTAGGACGGAAGAATCCCATGCACTGCTACAGGCTGGGGACCGACTGGCTAAGCAGCAGTTCTGCAGAAAAGGACCTGGGGATTACAGTGGATGAGAAGCTGGATATGAGTCAGCAGTGTGCTCTTATTGCCAAGAAGGCTAACGGCACATTGGGCTGCAATAGTAGGAGCACTGCCAGCAGATCGAGGGAAGTGATTATTCCCCTCTATTTGGCACTGGTGAGGCTACATCTGGAGTATTGTGTCCAGTTTTGGGCCCCCACTACAGAAAGAATGTGGACAAATTAGAGAGAGTCCAGTGGAGGGCAACAAAAATAATCAGGGGGCTGGGGCACATGACTTACGAGGAGAGGCTGCAGGAACTGGGCTTATTTAGTCTGCAGAAGAGAAGAGTGAGGAAATGATAGCAGCCTTCAACTACCGGAAAGGGGGTTCCAAAGAGGATGGAGCTAGGCTGTTCTCAGTGGTGGCAGATGACAGAACGAGGAACAATGGTCTCAAGTTGCAGTGGGGGAGGTCTAGGTTGGATATTAGGAAGCACTATTTCACTAGGAGGGTGGTGAAGCACTGGAATGGGTTACCTAGGGAGGTGTTGGAATCTCTATCCTTAGAGGTTTTTAAGGCCCAGCTTGACAAAGCCCTGGCTGGGATGATTTAGTTGGTGTTGGTCCTGCTTTGAGCAGAGGGTTGGACTAGATGACATCCTGAGGTCTCTTCCAACCCTAATCTTCTATGATTCTATGAAATACATCTCACAAGCATCAATATGCAGAAACACTCAAAAAACCACAGTACCTCATAAACTACCTCTCTTTGATTCTACTCTTTTCTGTTTCTTTAGCCAGTTTTTAATTCATGGCAATACTTTACTTCCCATTCCATAGCTACTTAGCTCCTGAACAGCTTTTTGTGAGGGACTGTAACCAAGTGGTTTACCCTTGGGTAGAAAAGCCTTGGTACAAACCAAATGTGACTACTGAATGAGCCCCACCTGAGGGGAATCAGGTAATTTCCTATAAAGAGCCGATGGTGGCTACAGTTAGACTGTAGTCAGATTGTGGGGGGCTCCTGCAGGGAAGGCTCTGAGATCAGGGGAATTGCTTCCAGCAAGGAAGGACCCTGAGCAGACCTGGGGCATTTGAGTTCTACCCAGCTGAAGGGAAGACTTGTGTTTAGTTTTGAACTTGAAGTTAATAAATGAGACGCTAAGGTAGGCTGTTGTGATTCGACTGGAAAAACCCTGTGTGGAGCTTATTTGGGGAACCAAGAAGGGAAACAGAGGTGAGGGGCTGAGGGGAGGGCTGCCCTGAGACCACTAGAGAAAGTCATGTGGCGGCCACTCATGTAAGAGACTTATTCAAAAATTTTTAGAATAATGTGTGTCAGCTGGTTCTCCATTATCCACAATTTTGCTGACATGCTAAAAGTGTTTTAGCAGATGAGAGGCCATGCTAGTTTGTTTCTGTCATACCATGTCCGTCTTGATGTTTTATAATTCATTGAGTTGTTTCAACCAGCTTTCTTGATACTGAAGTAAGGATCAGTGCTCCTATCGCCTTCTTTAAATATTACGTTTGCTATTCTCTTGGGTGTATACCATTCAGTCTGGGTAACTGGTTGCTTTTTAATTCATCTTCTCTTTTGATACCTCAATCTCTGATTGTACCTCATCTCTATTACTAAAACAATGGGTCTGAAGTACATATCTCCCAGAATGGGCCCTTTGTGATGAAGAGAGATGGGAAAAAAACAAACAAACAAACAAAAACCCCACACCATTTAGCTTCTCTGAACTATCCTTGTCCTTTTTAAGTGGGCCCTTTATTCCCTGATTGATTGATTGATTTATTCCCCTTTATTCCCTGATCCAGCAGATCCTCTAAACTCTCTTGCAGGTTTCCCCGCATCTGAATTATTCACTTTTCTCAGAGAATTATAGTAGACAGAGAAGGCATAAAAGGGAAGCAAGAGCTGGGGTTACAGTTTCACTGTTGACTTTGAATGTCCTTGCTTTGTGCCATAACTGATATTAAACAATCCTCTCAAGTGTGGTATAACATTGCACATGGGACTACAGACTCGTTGAAAAGTGTTGCATGCACCAAGAGATTCCACGTAGGTTTGCATACTTAATGAAACATCAGATCACTATTTTAGGTGCACAAAGTGAACACATTTTTAATTGAAGTTTGATTATGCTTTCCTATGGTTCTATTCTCCCCAATCTCTCCACCTCTTGTTTGTTGATTTACACCTTTACTTCATTTTCTGTTTTGTTTCTTCTCCCCCACCACCCCAACCTTAATTGCTTCAGTATTCCATCTGTTTCTACTCTACTCAGTTAGGTGTCTGCTTTTCGGTCTGATTCCTTTTACTTTCTCTCTATCCTCCCACCTCCTTCTGTTCCTCACTTTTCCTGCTGGGTGGGTAAAAAAGTGGCCAGTCAGTCAGTAGACAATAAACACATTGTGGGAACAGCTTAGTCTCATTATATTTCAGTGTAAATAGCACCAGCACAATTGCGGCTGGAACATCACAGAGGAGTCCAGACATACTATATATGGAAAAAGCAATAGGTTGTAACTTTATTAAACATGTGCAAGCTAATGGAGAGCAGATAGGTAGCTACTACAAACTCTGACTTCACCCTGGACCCCACCATTGTGAGGATATCACCATTTGAGCCTCAATGTCACTGTCTTGGGTATTTATCCCATGGATCAACTATGTATTCTTTTCCCTGATACTCATTTCATATTCAGGCTTACCCTGACATTATCAGTTTTCCAGGTATCCCAATCCTATAAGAGATTTTTGGAAGCAAGCTTCCTCACTCTACCAAGATTGTGACTACCCCCTTAAGATAGTCCAGGAGTCACAAGGAAAGAGCCTTATGGAAAGAATAGCAACTTAACATGGCAACATAAAAAATAATAGAATTATAAGCAATTGATATCTAAAGAAGTTGGTACAAATATTTAGGTTACAAAAATAACACAACAAGATAGCAACTGCAATAAAATCCACAAGCTAGTATAATATAAAATAGGCTTGGAAGGATTAGATTTGTTGGTAAATGTTGATATCATCATATGCACAAACCAACAAACAGTATTTCCATTGATAATTGAAAATTACAGACAGGAAAATTAAGAAAAATGCTGCTTGAGAACTTAGAGTTTGATTTAAGGCGATTTACTTCATATATTTTGCATGTGATGTTAACAATTTGTGTGTTAATGGTTATAAACCTTTAACTTTTTGAATCTCAACATCTACCGGTTATTAAATAATGATTATATGACCTACATTGTCTAACTTCCAATCATTTCCAGCAATTGCATAAATTTAAATCAAGTCTTAAAATAAACATTGATACCTGTCAAAAATAGTTTTTTAAATTGAATTCTGCCATGCCTACATATAAACAATATAGCAAGAATCAATGGCATTGGTGACTATGTGGTCTACTAGTTCTAGCACAGGGCTGGGAATGAGGAGTTTTGGCGTGCATTCCCAATTCATCACTAACTCTGTGTAACCTTGGGCAAATCACATCCTCGATTTCAATTTCTCCATCTATAAAATAGGAAAAGTAATTCCTAACAAGGCATGGAAGCCTCTCACAAGCTAGTACCATATTCTCTATTTGGGATTTTAAGTCTTGCTATATATATTGCATTCAGTGACTGAATATAATAGTGGAATATAGACACAGGACAGGAAACAGGTCACCATCTGTGTCAGGTATATATGAATGAGTGTGTTGGGTGGGGTGGTTATGGTTAATTTCTCTGGCCAGTAGACTTGATTTGTTTTGGGGTGGACTGGGAAAATCCTGAAACGTGTAACTCTTTACAGTGAGACAGGAGATGTAACGGGGAAACAAGGATGGTTAAGAAGCCTGTAATTTTATACTCTAAATTTCCCTGAAAAGGAGATATTCTGGAGAAATGAATATACTTGAGAGGTCAAGAGCATGATGCACTGGAAACTCTGCAAGTTTCAACCCCTGGAGTTTCCAGAGTAACTTTTCTCCCTCTCATGGTTTTTCTGCTGGAGGAAATTTATCATATAATTTCTATGTATTGATTCACTGCCTCCAAGTAATAAAAATGTAAAAGCCCACCTACTTTATTTTCATGACTCAGAAAAAAAACAATATTGTGAGTTCTTACTACTGGTCACTGTACATAACAGCACATACCAAACATTATTCTCAGACTTGTGGCAACAGCATTGATAAAAACAGTGCATAAAAAAAGGATATAAACTAATACGTAAAAATTAATTTTTGCATTTTGGAACAAAGCAACATTTATCAGTAGTTGCTAAAACGTAGAGAGCAAAAATATGTTTGAGCTTTTAGAAAATATTGTTACAGAATGGATACTATTAATAAAAATTATTTAAAATGTATGGAATTTGATCATGTCAATTTCTGTTGGTTAACCAACAGCAACATGACTATGAAGTTACATTGCAAACTGCAGTTCATAAATTGAGATTACAAATGAAGCTTTATAATTACCCTCGCACTGGAATATTCATATTTCGTGCTGATTTAGTAACTTCTTCAAATTTTTCTATGCTTTCTTCTATAGAACAATTAATATTCATTTTGTTGAAAGATTCAGATGCTGCACCAAATACTGATACCTCTGTAGCTCCTGCTGCAATCTGTAAAATGTAATTCAATAAAACAGAACTGAAAAGATGTATAAATATAAGTAAGTTAAGTATGGTATTCTGTAATGAAAGAAGAAATTCTAGATCCTTAGTTTTAAACAAATTTAACAATATATTAGTCAATATAGTGTACAGTATATAACTCTATCTGAAGTTATAATAATTGCAACTTTAACTCTAAATTTTCTTCAGTCTATTTGCAACCATACCGATTTTGTATCATTTGCTCTCTTAATTAACTCAAATCGCCAGAGTATACTTCCTTCCCTTTGTTATTAAATGGGATAAGGCCAGTTACTGCTTTATCAATTAATACACGAGTTTTTAAAATGATAAGCTTAGGTATTAAATTGTAAGAAATGATGCAAATAGGAAAAATAATTTAATAGTTAATTATTTTTATGATAATAAAATAAACTATTAACTGCAGTGATTCGGGCATATTACATGCCATTTATGCTATTGACACATGCTGTTTAAATATCATTTATAGAGCAAATAAAAAACAATCTAAAATGTCAATTGGCTCCACACAATCTGTTCTCCATACCTTTAATGGGACTTATCCACATACATCCCTGATCCTTGGGGAGAGGGGGGAAATCCCTCAAGAATTCTGGGCTTGTCCACACCCAGTTTTTGTACCACTTTAATCTTATCTGTTTCAAAACAGATTCGTTAAATTGGTACAACCTCCTAGTGTAGACAGAGATAGGAGGTGCTTATGTCAGTATAGTTTATTTCCCTAAATGCAGGAGCATCTTTATCTACACAGATAGCTAAAGCAGTACAAATTTGGGGAGAAAGGCAAGCCAACCCCTTTACACCGTTCTCCTAAAAAACCCAGGCTCTGGATTAGGTCCCAATCTGGCTCTGCACAAGCAGTCCCCACTTACATCACAGGAGGATGGAGAGGGTCAGACTGACTTTCTCCTATGTTCTTGATGGTGTTATTTTCTTTCCCTCTAGTTTTAAATGGTTTGGGGTATGTCTACACTGCAATTAAAAGCTGACTCGGGCTAAGCGGTTGTTTAACTGAGGTATAGATGTTTGGGATGGGAGGGTCCCAAAGCTTGGGCTGCAGCCCGAACCCAAACATCTACACTGCAATTAAACAGCCCCTTAGACCAAGCCCCACAAGCCTACATCAGCTGGCACGGGCCAACCACAGGTTTTTAATTGTAGTGTAGACATACCCTTAGTCTCCATCATGCAGCTCAAACACAATCTGTTCTGAGATTAAACTGCTGACAGCAATAAGGGGAAGAAGGTAAAATAAATTTGAGGGAGAAGGGAACAACATTCCATGAGAAAAAAGTACTGTTTGATTCGGGAAGGTTTGTTTCCCATTGGAAGGGAACCAGGGCAAAGACAGTGTGATCTAGCAGTCACAGCTCGCCTAGCACAATACAGCAGTCAGCAAGCCAGTCTCAGAATAAACACTGGATCCCAGATCAACAGACGAGTCAGGGTCAGAGTCAGGCCAGGGTGAGAGACCAGAGGTTGTGGCCTGGCTGGAGCCCCAGGGCAGGGGCAGAGTCAGGTTACTAGATCACAGGCAGGGTCACAGATGACTATTAGGCTGAAAATAGGAGGCAATATTCAGGCTCAGAATCAGCCTTGGGTCAGAGACCAAAAATCAGCAAGTCAGGTCACAGCAAGCCTGAAGTCTGCACAGTTGCCCAGACAACTTCCTGGGCTATACACCATGGTTAAATAGTGATCATGGGCCAATCAGAAGGCCAGAGTTTGCTGTCACTCTGGACCATTTGGGTGGTATGTCTTGCTGTGCCTAATCTCCACAGTACTCCTTGGAGAGGTCTTGACATGACAAGGTGGGCATGTCAGCTGCCCCAACTCCACAGCCCTGGGTTCTAATCCTGAAGATTCTTACGCCTGTTCTCCTAAGCCCCTGTGTTTTCTTCTCCTATCCACCACCCTATCTCATGGCTCTCAGCATGCTGATCTGCAGCCTCAACCTAACAGCCGAAGAGCAAGTCAGCAGGTTCTGCTGACGCTGAACTCTAAATTCAACAGGGAAATATACTGCAGGATTGGGGCCTAAACTCCCAGCTTTGGTAAAAAAATGAAATTGCCATCCCACAAGAATTTCCAAATTTCATTTAGTCCCCACTCAGAAAAAAAGTAGAAATCTTGACATTTTTCACAAAATGAAATATTCTAAAATATTTTGACCTTATTGATACATTTCTTTTCAGTAATGTTGAAACTGTTAGTTTTGACTTTACCCTTTTGACTATTACAATATAACATAAGATAAAATAATAGTCGAAATAAAACATTTTGACCTTACAGAAAAGGTCATTTCCTATTGAAAATTCTGACAAATCAGTATTTCACAAAAACTTTTCAATTTGGCTGAATCTGCATTTTCTGATGGAAAAGCATTTTATTAGGAAATTTTCAACTGGCTGTAGCATCAACAAGCTAAAGAATGAAAAGGAATTATTTGTTTCTTTCTTAGGGTATGTACTACAACATTTATGGCATCTTCCAAAGGACTGTGTGTTTGATACTGGCCACTAAAATTACATTTATGGAATTTAATCTCACTCTGTAAAATTTGTAAGTTTGCTTCATGAAAACTGACACTTTTTCAGAAAAAAAAATACAGCCTAATTCTAACAGGACTGGGTGAATGATATGAAATAGCTGGTTTAAGGTACCGTGCATAAAGTGTTTGAAACATGAAGTGTAGACACACTCTAGCAATCCACTTACAGCAGAATGAAAACCTTGAAGATTAGGTGTGAGTACAGGATATTGGACCCCAGGATGCCGCTCGATCCTTCTCATTACTTCTGTGTGATCTGCCATCTTAAATACATAAATATTTTGCATTTATTTTTCAGTTATGCTAATTAACAATTATCTACTGACTATTTTAAAAAAAGGTAGATATGAATTTAAGGATGGATGCAATTCTGCTTTGTCATAAGGTCATATAATAGCAGAAATAATACACTATAACAGAGCATTGACTGCATTACACCGTGCTTTGTCTTGTTTATGCATATAGTTAATGAAAAAAGTATGATCTATAGCTAGAGATTTGAAAAATGTGCAATATGTGTGAGAAAAAAATAACAAGATTCTATGGAATATAAAAGTTTCTGTGTTCATTTCTATTTTGATAATCCAGAAAATACAATATTCAAGCTAATAAGGAAGCCATGATTTAAGAGAGACATTGGTGGTGACGTGCCATGTAATTTAGGATTCATTAGATTTATGAAGAATGCTACTTCGTTATATAGAATTATCATAAATACTACAAAAAAGCCTATAATTTTCAAGCCAGTATATAAACGTTAACCCCTCTGTTTTACTAAGGCATTCATCATGAGAATGGGATCTGTCTGTGGGTTTAAACTTTTCCTGCAGCTTCCACATGTCATAATCTTCTCCTTATTAGAGCAATTTATTACTATGTAAATTATTCTAGTTTAATAAACAGAGGATTACGATGTCAGGTGTAGACAAGGTGCAGCAGCAGATGAAGCCTAAGTAACAAAGATTCTATTGTCAAACAAAAGCCTTTGGGTAAAATTTTCAAAAGCACCTAAGTGACACAGGAGCCCAAATCTCACCGAAAGTCCATGGTACTTATGCTCTTCTGAAAATGTATCCCCTTAATAATAAAGAAGTTAAGAGAGTTATAGAATATAGAAATGTATGCAGAATTAATCCTAAATATTATTAATTCAAATATCTAAAACTAATTCAGTTCCTGGCTCCGTTCTCTTTGTGCCCTAACAGTTCAGCAAGGAATTTCTTGAGTGGTGTAAAGGCTATATAACAGCCTCTACAGCAATTTTTCCTCCTGTTCCCCCACATAAAAGGTGTTTCTGGGCAAGCCAAGGGCAGACGGAAGCATGACAGGACTGTTCAGTATGATTAGGAACATCCCTTACATTGTTCTAAATTACACTGAGACCTGGATTGGCCGCTGGTCAACCCCAGGATCAGGGGAGAGGAAAGATAAGTTTGGACAGACCTAAGGCCCAATAGGCTTACAGTCAAAAGATTCACAGTCATTCATTTGCCGGTTTCTTGTTTGCAGAAATAAGGCACAAACAAAGGAATTATTCTGTAAATCTAAGTAAAACATTTTGGTATATATTGGGCTAAATTCTGGTTTATGATGCTCAAGTACAATTCCCATTTTGACACAACTCTAATGAGAGCTGCAATGAGAATCTAGAGACAGAACTGGCTCCCTTAAGGGACAATTAATTCTTTTACCTACATTTATTACGTTACCCTTTCTGTCCTCTATGTCAGTGGTCTCCAAAGTGGGGTGCGCACACCCCAGGGGGTGCGCAAGATCCTTGGGGGTGGGCAGCAGGAGGAGCGCTTTTTTTGTTTTGTTTGCGCTTCGGCAAAAATGGTAGAGCCGGCGCGGCAGGGGGTGCGTGCTCAAATTTATTTACTGATAGGAGTGCGCGATCAAAAAAGTTTGGAGACCACTGCTCTATGTCACTATTCACTCCAAGTCAGCCCAAATGCCAGGAGAGAATGGTGACTTTTAGTAATCTCAGTTCAGTACTGGCATACTGCAGCTGCTGAATTCTTAGCCTAGCTCTACCCCGACTCAGTGTATAACAATTAGAGCTAGTCGGAAAACTTATGCCAGAAGGTTTTTTCATTATTTGTTGATTTGTCAAAAAGTAAACATTTTGTGCAGACGGTTCTAATTTCGATCAAGTTCTAACAGAACCCAGACAGAGTTATGGCAGAAACTTGCTGTTTTTCCTGCCAGATTGCCTGCCCTGCTCCTTGGCAGCCCATCTGAATGACTGTTGGGGAGCTGGACTTTCAGGGTCCATGGTTTCCACCATGCATACTGGCTCAGAATCCAGGGCTTCCAGAATCCCGGGTCCTGAGGCAGCTGCCAGGTGGACCAGCCTGGAGCCAGGGCTCCATTCCTTTTCATGGAGAATTTCAAAATTTTGGTTTTTATTCCAAATAAAAATTAAACCAAATTTTAAAATACTGAAATCCTCCATGAAATGGAATACCTTTCTCCACCCTTCTCAACTGGCAAGTCACTTAATCACAGCAAGCCAAGTTCTACAGTGGGAGCCAGAGTGATTAGAAATGTGAGTAAAAAATAAAATTAGCTTGCATTTTTCAATTTGAATCTCATCAATCTGGCGCACATGTCTTCACCATTTTGTCCTTTTTCCATTTGGAAATTATTTTCCCCCCTAATGTTAGGAATGGAAAAATTAATATGTCTGTTTTTACCTTCTTGCTTTTACAACATCCATTAGAAAGAGTAACAAATAGTGGCAGTATTGTTAGATAGATAATTGCCACAGTGCAAACATTATTTTTGAGAACGACAGTGGTCATTATACCTCATTATTATCTTCTCCAAGATACACAGATGTGGTGGGGTATGTCTGACATTCAAACCTTTTCTGTTAGAATGGAGAGAGAAATTCTTCCTTCAAATTAAGATAGGCTTACAGCATTCCTTTGTTCATATTAGCATGAAGATTTCTAACTATATACTTTAGAAAATCCTATTTACACAGAAATCATAGCTTATCGCTCCAAAAACACAGTCAAGATCTGGTGTTATCAGATATGCTATTGGGGGATACTGTGCCCCACTATTATCACTTATCTCAAATAGCTCCCCATGAGTACAGGATGTTGACAGAGGGCACTATATCACTTCAACTGTTGACTAGGCTCTCACATTTGGGGTCATTCTTCAGTTTCCACTTGGTCATATTGTCACCAGTCGTTGCCATCCCAACTCTTACTCCATTAAGAGTACACCAGGGTTTTCATTTGAGCTCAGAGCCTGGAGAGAGTTGTTCTGAAGGAACCAGGTTCTCCAAGATCAATGGCATTTCCTGCCATTTTATTTCTCTGTAACCTTCCATAGTGGTATTTTGTGGTCAGGGATTTTCAGAAGCAAAGCTCTTTCTGGACTTCAGCCTCTTGGGTGGTATAATGTGTCCATACAGTGGGTGTCTTTGATGATGCACCTGTTTTTGTCTCTTCTTATTACTAAACATATCCCGCTTCACTGATGGCAGTGCAATCCTTTTGGGGCAGGATAAAAACAGTGTGGGAGTCAGTATCACACTCCCTGAGATGATCTTGCAGGATTAAGTTCAGTATCGATTTTGTGAGTATGGCTTGAGCGTGACCATACTGGGGCGCAGTACTCTGCAGTAGAGTAACTGAGCAAGACTGGCTGCTTGGAGTTTTTATGGGTCAGCTCTCCATTTTGCGTTGGCCAGTTTCTAGAGTACACAATTCCTGGAGCTCACTTTCTTTTTCAGCTTCTTGATGTGCTCTTTGAACATCAGCATTTGATCTAATGTGACCCCACAGTAGACCAGATGTTCATAATGCTCAAGGATTGTGCCATCTCACAAGATATGGGGTTTTTACTTGGCCTTACAGTGTTTCAGGTGGAAGACACACACCTAATTGTAACATCATGGAAAGTTCTGTTCTGACTGCAGGGTACATGTTGTGCATAGATGCTACTGAGAATAAGGGGAACTAAGAACTAAGAGGAACACCCCTATGAAAAATGGGGCACCCCAAAATTCATGGGGTGTGGAAGTACAGATAAGGAAAAGAGGGTTGAAACCCTCTGTTGTCAGATGCTACCGGTAGGGTGCTCTGCTTTTTCCAATGCTGATATCATTCAGCTGTGTGCGTGTGTTCCCTCTGTGTGCTGTCCCAGCTCTGCGCAGATAGCTGACACAGCAAACCTGACGAGAACCCCCAATAACCACAGAGTCTAGTAAGATGCAAAGTCACGTCGACTAAGTTTATTGCGACCTTGGACACAATTGCAGTTCCCCGTAGATTACTCAGTCTACCGGGCATACTACTAATAGGTGCCTCCTGGCAATGGACCCGGCTCAGTTAGTGGCGGGACTTTCCACTACCCCCTCGGCCGAACAAAGATATCCACTCAGGGATGCATTCTTATACACAGATACAAACAAGTTACACATCACTCCTGACGTATTGAGGTGCAACCCCTCTACGCAGCAAGGTACAACCCCTCTACGTAGTAAGGTGCCGCCTCTCACCTTGTACATGTTGGTTCGAACAAAACAACACTATCCATCATATTCCCCTTTTGGCCCTGTCATTGGGATGGGTCAGCCTGTTCCTTGTTGTGTGTGGAATGTACAAGTATGCGAATGTTCTGATATCTGGTGTCCAGTACCTTTTAGGTATGTCTCTTTTTGCAGCATCAGCCCTTTTCCTTGCCAGCTTCTGTGAGCGGGGCCTGCCTCTGGCTCACAGCTTAACTTTGCTTTATGTTAGCAAAGTCTTGACCATTACTTTAGTTCAGGCCTTAGGCCTCTTACCAGGCCTCTGATACCAAGGTTTATATCTCAGGGCCTCCTCTTACTACACCCTCATGCATATACATAAGATGTTAGGTGTGGTCAAAACAACAAGATAAAAGAGGTTCTCTAGTTAAAAGTGGGAAGACCCAAGGGACAACCCCAACGGATGACCCTACGGGAAACCCTAGCAGGGACCCTCCCTCTATCGATGATCATCTATTGAGAGGGCCTTCACACCCTAAAATATCTTTGAGGATGTGAGTATGACTTAGTCATTGCATGGGTTTTTGTAGGATTTGTATATGCATGGGTAATTGTGACTTTACTTATTGCTTTAATGAAACTTGTAGTACAGATAAGACTTTGTACTTATGATTATGTCTGTGGTCACTATCCTTGGACTTCAAATATTTCTAGAGTCTCCAAATTTGAGACAAGCACCAGAGGTAATATTCACTCTATTGAGCTCGAAACTGT